AGTCATTTTGTTGTGCATTTGTAATTTTTATTCGTTTTTAATATTTTTATTTAGCTTTAATTTATTTTTATTTCAGTTTAAGTAATTTTGTTGTGCATTTGTAATTTTTATTAGTTTTTTATATTTCTATTTAGCTTTATTTTATTTCAGTTTTAGTAATTTTGTTGTGCTTTTGTGATTTGTATCAGTTTTTTAAACATTTGTATTTAGCTTTATTTTTATTTCAGTTTTAGTAATTATGTGCTTTTGTCAGTCTTATTAGTTTTTGTTTTCTTTAATATTTTTATTTCTTAAAATAAATTAGAGTAATTCAGTAACACTAAATTTTGTAATTAATGCTTTTGTCATTTTTTATATTTTTATTTTATTTTATTTCAGCTTGTTTCAGTAATTTTATTGTGCTTTTTAAAGTCATTTTAGTATTTAAACTTTTATTTTTAAAGCTTTTCATCTAATACTTATATTTTATTTCAGCTTATTTCAATAAATGAAAATGTTTTTGTTATTTTGTTTCTATAACACCACCGACCCGAATGATGCAATTCCCGTGATTCTCATGATCTGAACTCACATCAGCTACCAATAATGCCAGAACAGAAATGAGAACTTCATGCTCACCGTTTGAAGGAACTCTTCTGCTTTGTTTTGTGGCAGTCCATCACCCACTCCTTCCTGACGATGACGCCTCCGGCTGCTTTCACCTGACTGTATTTGGGCGTGTTGGCGAAAGCACAGCTGCAGGAGAGACACAAAAGCTCTGAACAAACACGAGGCGGTTCTGAACGCTGAATCACGTCGTGAGGCTCTGAACGCTTCCTTACATGAGGTGTGTGGAGTCTGGGGTCCAGTCGGGTCGGTATCGGGCTCCCAAGGCCAGCGCTTTGTCCCGCAGCTCTCCGCGAAGTGGGTTCTGGAAGCCGCTCACGACAAACACCACTCCCTCCATGATGCGGTTAAAAGGCACCGGTTCTGCAGACTTGGCTTTAGGTTTGGGCTCTGGCTTGGATTTAGGACTCTCTCGCTTGTCTGATGTCCTCTGGGCTGGAGAAGCTGCAAATTTAAGAAGCGCGATAAGAATTCAGCTGCGCCTACAACGGAAACACTCTGAGCAGTGGTTCTCAAGATGATTAAAACGAATAAAAACAAGTTTTAAAAAGCTAAAACAACTAATCCATCAGTGTCTCTGCAGTGAATGGGTGCCGTCAGAACGAGAGCTGATAAAAACATCACAGTAATCCACAGCACTCCAGTCCATCAGTTAACATCTGGAGAAGACAAAAGCTGAAACTAATCCAGCTTTTAGTGGACCGGCGGCTTCCAGACGCTCTTTACTGAACTCAAACTTCCTCTTCACAGGAGCCTATGAGAAACAGTCACCAGATCCTCCTCTTGTGCACAGAAGAAAGTCTTACAGGTTTGACGCAACAAAGAGAGCGTGATAAAAGCAATCACTCGATAACCAGCCGCAGCATCTTCATCTCGGATCCTGCGGAGATTCACAGCTTCTCAGTTCTAATTATAAGGATATGATTCTGGAACGCTATAAAAGGTCAATAATCCATTACAGGTGGCTACAAAATATCTGCCGCTTCTGCACAAAAACACCAGCATCAGGTTTGTGTGATGATTTATGGTCACCGAAGAGCTGGAGCTAATTTAATAAGGAAGCTAAACGAGCTGCTGTTTAGTTAGAGGACAGGAATACGGTTATATCGGGACAGTTCACGAGCTCGATTCCGTAATAAAGAAACACTCGGGTGTTCACATCAGGGTCAAAAACAGAGAGAACTACCGTTAAGAAGTTTGGGGTCGGATGCATTTATTGATCAAAAATGCAGTAAAAATGTGAAATATTATTAGAATCTAAAACAGCTGTTTACTATGTGAATCTCTGTTAAACTGTAATGTATTTCTGTGATGCGCAGCTGTATTTTCAGCATCATTCCTCCAGTCTTCAGTGTCACATGATCTTCAGAAATCAGTATAATATGCTGATCTGCTGCTCGAGAAACATTTCTGATTATTATCA